AAGTTATTATAAGTAACTAGGAAAAACATTTAAAATACAGTAAAGATTTGAAAGATTTTAGGGATGTTAAAGAAACACTTCATTCATTTTCAATGAGGAAAAAAAATGACATAAAAACTAAATAGCTGAAAAAGTGTATGTAGCTGAAATGTCACAGCACTATTTGCATGAGCTGAACCTTTTTGATGAATTGTTGAATTAGGAAAAAAACGTGTATCACGGGTTAAATGACAAAAAAAAACGTATGGAGTGGATCATCTCAGAGTGAACACTTTATCATTTGTAGAGGCACATCTGGTGACGTCTTCCTGCAAGCTTCATTATGATTCGCCCTGTGGTTGATGGGATATTTTGCTGACAGACGAGCAAATTATTGGTCCCGCGCTGTTGCTGAAAAGTTGTTCGTGCCTGACATTCCTGTGTGAGCGGAGCAGTATGCCTCCCTCTGCTGCTCCGCGCAGGCAGCGCTGCTCCACTGATCTACTGACCCACTTCTGCGGAGAAGCCTCGCGGGACCACGTGACGTAGGCGAGCTCCTACGTATGGTTGGCCTCTGGGGCCGGGGCGGCTTGACGACAGTTAGGGAAAGACATGGTAGAGWTCAGATTGGGAAAATATGGTTATAGATAACCATAAAAAATAAATAAATAAAAGAGTTGGAAAAGGCGAGTCGTCTTTATGATTACCATGACGTGTTTGCGGGCACGAGCACGTCCTCCGTATCTGCAGAGCGCGCGCGACCACAGTAAGCTGGCAGCCGGCGATTTTAAAGCGTGCATTCTGAGTTAATTTGATAAGTTTGTTTCTCACWTAAAGCTAAATTGAGTTCAATACTAAAAGCAGGAAGTGATTAGCTGTGTTGTCGATTCGTTTTACTGTCAATAAACATTCACTTAGACGCGAAAAAGTCATTTAAAAAAAGTCGCAAATGAGCTTTTTTTTTTTAATCTAGTTCACGACATTTTTCAGACAAACGGATTACCAAGTCGTTTACAACACCGGTGTTTAAGAAACTCAACCAAATAAAAGTAGCACACAGGTGTGTCCGGAGGCGCTTACCTGCCGGTTTGTCCGCCGTCCCACCAGAAGAACCTCCCGCCGACATGCCTGTGGACCGGAACCGGTGTTCCCAGTGAAAGCTACGGAGCGGCGCGGCGCATGTTGAGCCTCCAGCTGGAGTAGTAGGAGAGGAGGAGGCACGGAGGGCCGGAGTCAGTGTTGTATAATTGACTTCACTTTTTTCTTCTCTCCCTTACTCTCCTCCTCGTGTTTTTACAAAGCCTGTAGGTGGCGGGGGTGGGGGTAGAAACGTGAGAGAGACACCGATAGTTACATTCTTCTGAATGACATTATATAAAACACAACTGCAGTTTTATTTTGTAGGAGCTTTGATAKAGTGAAGTGGTTTTCATCACAGATCTGTCACGTGAGATAAATAAATGTTCTGCAGTGAACCCATGTCAGCATTAGTAAATAAATGTTTCATTCATGCAAACAGACTCCCACCGTGTTGTAGTGACCTGAATAAGATCTCTGCTTTCTTTCTTCAATCAGAGCGGCGACAGAAAAGAGGTCTCACTCCTTCTGATTTTCAGAAAACTATTTTTCCCCAAGAGATGTTCACATTTGGTTGTTGCCAGAAAAAAAAAACTTCAAACTGACGAAAGCAATTTAAAAAATAATAATAATATCAGACTTTGTTTTTGAATTGAGTTTTTGAAAATAATTTAAAGGAACTGAACAAAAAGAGCAAGCGAACAAGCTCCTCTTGTGTCTTCCCTTGTTTTCCCTTGTCTGTAAGCTAAAAGTAGCAAAATTATAGCTAAAAATAATAGAACAGAAGCTAAAATMATCAAAAAGCTTGATAACAGCTTCAAGTAGCAAAAGTCTTCAAGCTAAACAGCTAAAATCTAAAAGCACCCCAATATAATAAAAAAAACTAGCAGAAGAACTTTAAAATAAAAAAGTAGCCAAATGGAAGTAGCTAAAAGTAGCAGAATGGTAACTAATAGCATCAAAAAGCTTTTTAACAGCTTGATGGTAGCTAAAAACTGAAAGAAAAAAAGTAGCTAAAAGCTAAAAGTAGCAGGCTTGTTGAAAAAAATTAAAGTAGCTAAAGGCCAAAAAGAGCTAAATGTTAGCTAAAAGAACCAAATTAGTAAGCAAAGGGATTTCTAAAACCTATACTGGAATGGTAGCTGAACTAATAAGAGGCTAGTTAAATGAAAACACTTGTAAAATGTTAGCTAAAAGTAGCTACTAAAAGCAACAAAATAATAGCTGAAAGCAAAAAAAGCTAAAAGTGGCAAATGGCTTGTTAGAAATCTAAAAGTAGCTAAAAGGGGCAAAAAATAGGTGAAAGGTAAAAGTAGCATAAGAACACAAAATAAAATATGTTGAAGCAGATTTCAGAGAGCAGTGATTTTGAAGGGAAGTGAAAACATTTTATTGTGTTTTAGGAGGAAACTATTTCTTCAATAAGTCAAATAATTTGTGAAAAGTATGCAAATTTGAAAACCCCAAAGTTCTTGCACCATCTGCTGCATGAGCTGGATGTTTTCATCTGATTATCTAAAAATAGCACAAAGAAAGGTTTGTTGTGAATAAAAAAACAGTGTGAATGCTGAGTCAGCACTAAAAGATGATCTCAGGTCCAGTTCTAAAGAGGTTCGGTTCCAACATTTAAAAAAAGAAGTTTGACTGATTGGACAAATTAATAAATACCCAGCCTTACTGCACCTTTTACATGTCAAACTTACTTAATCAAATAGTTGACTGACAAACATCAAGAACTCATTAGAAATGACTAAAAATCACACATTTAGACTCAACTGTTCAGTCAAATCTTAGCAATTAAGAAGAGATTTAAAAATATGCATTTGATCCGAAACAGGTTTTGTTATATAAAATATATATCTTTAATTAAAAAGCAATGTAATTTCACTTTGTAATATGTTCCTGTCAAAAGTGATGGAGAATCATGGAGTAAATCTGGTCTGGAAACAATGACTCGCGGTGAGACGTCTTCACTGAGATCGACGATCTTCGATTCGAGACCTTTGCACGAGACTTTACGTAAGAAAGAAGGCTGCACGTGCCAACGTGAAACGTGTTGACCTATATATTATATAACTCGGCGGTCACGTGACGTCAGGCCGCCTCATTAACCCTTTTGTGCGCRGAGAAAGTTGGACAGGAAACACCTGAAAACCTGGAAATGTGGTAATGAACTTTTGCGAATCAGCTTATAATGGACCCATGTTTGATTTTGTTATAGAATATACATTTATTTATTTATAGGATGTCTATTAATGGCCACAAATTAARTAGATGTTTAAAACATATCACCCTATCTAACCTGCAGACTTCTTGTTTCCTCCCTCAGGTGAGGGCACGACCTGTTTGCTGTAACCTGATTTCCTGATGTCGACCAGAAGCCTGCTTCGTTAACGGGGGTAAGGGATTAAGAGAAACCCGATTAACYAGACCTCACATGGTGGTGGTGGAGTGGGGATGACAGATGCATGAGGACGCGTTCACGTTCAAATAGTGACACAAAGTAAAACTTAAACTAAATAAAGAAAACTAAACCTACAGCACCGTAGCAGGTTTTTGTCTCATTACAACAAACTTTAAAGTGGACCTCCACCTAAACGAACAAGCTKGGCAAGAAGTAAGATAAAAGACGTGCTGGCAGATTATGTCATGTAGGGACACAGCTGTGGCAGCAAAACTTCAACACATCCTCACTGTGYTGCACGGTGGTGGCAGCATCATGCTGTGGGGAGGCGTGYCTTCAGCAGGGACAGGGGAGCTGGTCAGAGCCGAAGAGAGGATGGATTCTAGCTGAAAACAGGAGAAACCTGGAAGAAAAACCTTTTGAGATCTCAGATGTCTTGGTACGGTTATTTTCTTTCTTCTTCTTTGTGTTGGACAATCAGATAAAATCTCATTGAAATACTTTAAAATGTGTGACTATAATGTGACAAAATATGCAAAGGTTCACGAGGTGTGAAGACTTGTTTAGGTCACATATAAAGACAAAAACATTTCAGATATTTGATTGTAAACTCTRAGGATTAGTTTAGCTGGACACAGATTTTTCACACAAAGAGCTCYCTCTAGTGGTCAAACTGACATATTACAACTCCTAACAGTTTGACAGTAAAGTTATTTTATAATTCAAATAAACTTGTGTTTTATGTTATCATACACTTTGTACTGAATAGTAGAGAGAGAGAGAGAGAGAGAGAGAGAGAGAGAGAGAGAGAGAG